ACACATCCTACTGCAGAGATATTTGGATGCTATTAGTAGAGCAGGAGCAAGACGCGTGTACCATCTGCCTTTATCTAGTGTGGGGAGATTCCTCTAGTGTTCTCTAGCTATCCACTTTCTTTTACCAGTATAAACTCAAAAGAGTAAATGTTAACTTTGCTTAGCCAAATGGAACCAGCAGATTTTAGCACACGATCTATAAAGGTCATTGCTTTGCTTTGTGTCCCTGAACATATACAGACAAGGACACTGAACGTTAGTAGAAAGCAGCCAGAAATATGTAGGTCACTGTCTTTGACTCAGTTTTGGCTGGGACCTTCTGCAGTGGTCCTACAAAACAAACCCAAAAATAAACAAAATTACCTTCAGTATATTCACTGGCCGGCTCTCTTTTTTTCCCCAAGTCCAAGAAATCTGGCCTTCATCTAAAGGAACTGTTTTCTTATTTGGGATGTCAATCATTAAAGGTGTCCATTTCATGTTTGGAGTGAGCTGTACTGTAAACGCTGGGCTGTGTGGTTGTATCAGTTTGTGCAAACAGTAGGAGCCAAGTACGTCTTGTTCACCCCCGAGTTAGCATCATTTGTCGCACTATCTCAGCAGAGCGGAGACGGTGGACACCTACGCGGTTTTGCAGGCTGTGCTTTCTACTGATTGTTTGTTTAATTAGAAAATGAGTAATTATTTATCCAGAAAATAGAATCCAAAGCCATGGGGCTGAAATCTTCTCTAATTGCACCATGCGATCATGCTTCTCTGAGGATTGTGCTTTTGGTGTGTGTAGGTGGTAGGGGAGTCTTATTTTGTGGCTGGTATTTACTGAGAGATCCGTCTTTTGCTCAGCACCTCAAGTGGAACAAAATGAAGTCAGTGGCAATCAACCTGCTTTGTAATAAAAGTTTAAAAGCCAGACACAATCAGAATATCTGTCTAAACAGTGAAGTTTGTGTTCATTCCACAGCTTTGGGGACCGGCTACATGTAGGACATCATTGAAGGTAAACTAATGTGTGGGAAAGGGCCCCTGTGTACAAGAAGGTGGTGTTTTGCACTTCACGGGAACAAAGGGAGTCAAACCTTGATAAGCTTTGTGGAATTTGCTGGGCAAAAGCTTGTTTGGGGTGAGATCCTGTCGATACAGCCAAGAATGGAGTTTGGCTTCTGCATATAGGTCAGCTTTTTGATGGGTGACCAAACCCACTGAGGTCTTCATTTTGGCTAACTGCTGATGCCATTTCATTTTTCTTTTCCGGTCCCATTCAGAGGTATGGATTTTCCCTTCCTAATAACCGAGTCTGGCATGCTGTTGAAGAGTGTCGGGGGTATGTGCTAAGTTGACCTTGTAGGTCTGTTTTCCATCCTGACCCAGAGGGGCTACTGGGAAGTTTTTAGCCAGCTATGATGACAGGGAGGGAGGAGTTCACTTGTGGAGCTGGTAGAGGCATGAACGAGAAAGGGGGGTTTTCAAATGGAGCTAGGACAGGATGAATTCCCGCCGTAGATGTGAGCTGAGGTGTGGAAACCTGGCTTTGTGTCTGCTGGATGAAGCAGATCTGGTGACATCTCCTGTCCACAGCATCACTCTCTATGAACGCACTGGTAGGGTTAGGGCCTGAACAGAACATGCCTAACAAGACGGGGCACGTGGAACTGATTGTGCCTGTGAGAAAACAAAAAGCGAATCACCACCTTCCTCTAGCCCACACCTGTGGCCGTTTGCGCTGTGTCCGCCTCAGTTGCTGGCCGGGCCTGTTGACATCTTGGTTTTAGAAAGCCCAGCGGTGGAGGGGAAAGCCTTGGAGACTTATTTTGTTTTTGTTTTTGTTTTGAGACAGGGTGGTGTCCCCCAGGCTGGAGTGCAGTGGCGCGATCATGACTCACTGCAGCCTCGACCCTCTGAACTCAGGTGATCTTCCCACCTCAGGGGTCCCCCAACCGCCCTGCCCTAGTAGCTGGGACTACAGGCACACACCACCATGTCTGGCTAATTTTTTTTTTTTTTTTAAATAGAGAAAGGGTCTTGCCATATTGCCCAGGCTGGTCTTGAACTCCTGGGCCCAAGCGATCCTCCCACCCTGGCCTCCCAAAGTGCTGGGATTACAGGCGTGAGCCACCATGCCCAACCATGCCTGGCTAATTTTCTTATAGTGACAGGGTCTCACCATATTGCCCAGGCTGGTCTTGAACTCCTGGACTCAAGCGATCCTCCCACCCCAGCCTCCCAAACTGCTGGGATTACAGGTGTGAACCACTGTGCCTGGCTGCTCGGAGACTTTGAATCTTAGCTCGGAGCACAGTAGCTGTTTGACTTCACCAGCTATGGATCCTTTTTAAGTCCCAGTTTCCTCATGTGTCTGAAATGATAATAATACCTCCTCCTAGAGTTGTTGTCATTTATTTATTTGTTTGTTTATTTATTTATTTATTTATTTTTTTGAGACGGAGTTTCACTTCTGTTGCTCAGGCTGGAGTGCAATGCTGTGATCTCAGCTCACTGCAACCTTTGCTTCCCGGGTTCAAGCGATTCTTCCACCTTAGCCTCCTGAGTAGCTGGGATTACAGGCGTGCACCACTATGCCCAGTTAATTTTGTATTTTTAGTAGAAGTAGGGTTTCGCCATGTTGGTCAGGATGGTCTCGAACTCCCAACCTCAGGCGAAACGCCCGCCTCGGCCTCCCAAAGTGCTGGGATTACAGGCGTGAGCCACCGCGCCTGGCCTATTGTTATTTTTGTGCGTGTGTGTGGTAAAATATACATAACATCAAAGTTATCATTTTAACCATTTCTACGTGGATAATTCAGTGGCATTAAGCACATTCACACTGTTGTGCAGCCACCAGCACCGTCCATCTCCAGAACATTTTCGTCTTCTCAAACTGACGCTCTGTACCTGTTAAACCGCCAGCACCCCCACAACCCCTTAAAAGAGCTGAGATTTGAACCCAGGGGTTTTGGCTCCATGTGTCTCGTGTTCTACCATATCATAAGAGAGTTTGTGGTCTTAAACGTTTAAGACATCTCCTAAGAACCTATTATGTTAGTTGGTGCTATCTGCAAAAACGCATTTTCTAAATGAACTTAGGCCTCATCCTTGATCTGTCCCTAATGTTGAATGAGACCCTGAACTAATGAGGTTTGCTGTGTGATTCTGCTGAAAATCTCACTGCGGACGTTGCAGAGTTCAGTCGCCCCTTCTCCTGGCTCATCTTGCCGTGTTTTCTCTCATCACTGGACGCCTTGACCACCATGAGGGTTTCCCCCCATCAGCCTCAGGGGCTTCCAGTTCCTAGTTTGCCTCCTGTCTCTGTGGCTGTTCCTTCTTGGTTGTCTTTACTGGAATTTTCATTTTCTTTCCCCTGTTGGCGCTCTTGGAGTCTCTGTCTTAGCCTTCTCTCAGAAACATGTCGCCCTTCCACAGTTGCCCTGAGAGGGTGTCAGAATCCACACACAGCTCCGGACCTGATCTCCTGGTGAGCCCCGCATCCCCTGGGGAGAGCGCCTCCCCGTGAGGGTCATGCCTTCTCCTCAAACTCACCATCTCAAATCAAATCCTAAGATAGAGGGAAACCCAGGGCGTAGCCATCTCCTCTCTCCTCCACCTGAATCCCAGCCTGCTTCTCAGGTCTGTTCTTCTCTTCTTTTTATACAGCTAGCGAGACTAGATTTGTCTTGGGTTCATTTGGACTCTTCCCTGCTTCTTAAATAGGAACTTTAATTTCTGTCCTTATTCTCACTGGCTTCTTCAACTCTCCCCCTAAACTCCTCCATTGACCTGCTCCTGTCCCTACTGCTGATGGATTTTCTTTCCTTAGTTCAGATCTGGTCACCCCTCTTCCCTGTTTGAAAACCCCCCAGGACCCCCGTTAATGGTCACGTGATGAAGCTCACCATCTGCTGACTGGCATTCTAACCCTCCGCCGGCTGGGCTCACTCTGCACTGATGACCCCTCCTCATTCTCCCTCCGCCCTCCCTATCCCATGACCAACACCCTATCACAGGGGCCTTGAAGGGGACCTCAGACCCCTTCAAGGAACAGACAGCTATGGACCGCCTCCCTAGAAAGGTACATGTTCACTCAGTTTTCCATTCAATTTCAAGGGGTCTGTGGATCCTGATGGTGAACTTAGCTGAATGCCCATGCTAGACTATACATTCTAAGCCTCTTTGTCTTATATTTGTGCCGTTTTCTCTTATATCTTTGTTCCTTTGTCTTTGTTCCTGTGTTTCCATCAGTATTTTTCTTCAGTGCACTTTCCTGTCAGAGTTAATTTTTCCCTCTATCGTGCTTGTACAGCACATTACCAGAACATCTATTTAGCATTTGTATTAGAGTTGATAGTTTGCGTGGCCGCCTTGCCCTTGTGTTCCTGAGCACAGTGCCTTGCATGTGTTACACATAGTCATGCGTCCATTTATTCATTGATTCAACAGTTTCTTCAGCTCTTGTGAGCTAGCCACAGTTCTTGTCCTGGGACTCTGCTAGGAAATATGATCCACTCCCCGCCCCAGTGAGATTGGTTTAATGGAGACTGTACACAGATAAGCAGGATGTTATCATGCAGTGAGACTATTGAGCATTTACTGTGTGCTGGGTGCTAATGAGCACATTGTATTAGTATGTGTGTTATCTCTGAATTCTCACAACAGCTTTGTGAAATAGGGTCTAATAGTTTAGGGATGAAGCAATGGAGACCACAGCTAGGTTTAGTAACTTACCTAAAATCATGAGACTCATCAGCAGTAGAGTGGAATTTCAACACTGTAGACTGTCCCTGGGGGCCAGTTTTTTTTTTTTTTTTGAGAAGGAGTTTCACTCTTATTGCCCAGGCGGAAGTATAGTGGCATGATCTCAGCTCACCGCAACCTCCATCTCCTGGGTTCAAGCAGTTCTCCTGCCTCTCCTGAGTAGCTTGGATTACAGGCATGCGCCACCACGCCCCACTAATTTTGTGTTTTTAGTAGAGACAGGGTTTCTCCATGTTGGTCAGGCTGGTCTCAAACTTCCAACCTCAGGTGATCCGCTCGCCTCGGCCCCCCAAAGTCCTGGGATTATAGGCATGAGCCACTGTGCCCGGGTTTAGGGGTCAGATTTTTTATAGCTAGACTGTCTGAGATCATCCTGGCCAAGCCAGGGCCCTGTGAGAGGCCAGGAGAAAGCAGAAGAGAGGAGAAAAGCCAAGCGGAAATCACCAAAGTCTTCCTGAAAGAGTACGGAGAATTGGGATGAAGACAAAGTAACCAGGGGCCCAAAGGTGAGATTGAGTGAGTGGGTGAACTGTGGATGAAATGTTATGAACTCAGGTCTGTGGAGATGGAAAAAGGAGAGAAGGCAGTGCCTGTGGAATGAATTGAGGAGAAAAATAGAATTAGCCACTGAACAGACTATCGAATTGAGCAAATAAATCTTTAAAGAATTCCAAAGATAGAAATGCCTTAGACACAGCAGGAATAATTTTTGTTTCAACATTGGAAGGCAGCCCTGCTTCTTATTATAGACATGTTCAAATAGTTTAAGTGCTGGTTACTGACCAGATTATCTGGCACAAACATTTGTATTACAGCAAGTTATTTACCCTCTCCACACTTAGTGTTCATATTAATAAGATGGGGATAAAAAATGCTATTTCCTCAAATCCAAGAACTATCAATTTAGCTGCACCTTTCATTTATGTAGCACTAAGGGAACAAAAAAAAGTCCTGCCTACTGAACTATGTGCCTTTCAGAGGTGTTACCATGTTGGGGGAAAAGGATTAACTGTAAAATGGATTCTAGGATTGGTCTTAGAATCAAGGAAATAGAATAGTCTCCTTCCTAGTGTTACTGTGAACAGTGCCAGATGCGTAGCAGTTGCTCACTATATTTGATGATGAGGATGTTGGTGGTGACGGTGGTAGTGTTTATGTAAAAGGAAACAGGCCTGGAGGCTGAAGCAACTGTGACTTGATGTAAGCAAAAGCTACTAGTCAAGTGCTCCCGTTGCAGATTTTGCTATTTTAGACTAGAGGGGTCTCCTGACACATGAGAGCCCTGTTGCCTGTAATTCTATGTTACCAGAGGCTGTGAGTGTGTATGCTTTTAGGTATAATATGACCAAGTGTTCATATGCCTATTTAAAACCTAAGGGGAAATGAAGGGCTCAATTTTACAGTATGGCTTCTAATCTTGTGTGCTCCTGAACTCTGGTCTACACACTCCCAACGATTAGAGAGACATTTTGTAACCAGAAATGCTTGGGTTCAGACTAGAATGCTTGAGTGCTACCAAATTAAAGGCCAGTGGGAAGCTACTTGGAGAAGCAGCCTCTGGCACTGTGGTAAAGGAGCATTTATCTAGAGACGGGCCTGGCTGGAAGGAGATGGCCACGCCTGTGTCTCAGGAGACTTTAATTAGGACCATTGGCTTGGCTGCCCCATGATGACAGGTTGAACTTATGCCTGTGGTTCTGAGCCATGAAATCACCCCTGGGAACAGCCCAGCAGAACCGTGGGTGGCACCCCCAAGGACTGGAGAGGAGGTGGCCCTGCAGGCGCTGGCTTCTGCCTGCCAGTCCAGCCGCTCTCTCCTGGGGTTCTCCACCTGGGCCTCGCCTGCTCCTCCTGCTGAAGTGTCTTCTCACTGACCTGGGCACAGGTTACTTCTGTGCTGTGCTTTGCTTTATTTCTCCTTTGTCTGCAGACACCACTGGGCCAGCACCAGTTCATCCCGGGTGTTTAGACTCAAACTGGGGTGTCATCTCCTGAGGAGCCCCTATGATCTGCGCTTCCTCTCTGTGCTCCGTGATGCCCTAGGCTTCTCTCTCTCATGGCGTTTCCTGTCCTTTCTGTCTGTGTGTGTGTCTCCGCCCTCCCTGAGGAATGGGACCACATCTTACTCATCTTCGTACTCACTGTGCTTTCCCGTAGGAGGCTATTTACAGAAGGACACAGGAATGGACAGAGGGGCAAAATATCAAAAGCTGATACTTGAAGGGTCCGCAGAGGAGGAGAGAGGAGGACGGCTTTTCTAAGTAGAGGAATAAGGAGCCACATATGCAGGGGAACCAAGAAAGGGAAAAGGAAAATTCACAGAATCTGCTGCTTTAAAGAGTGTGGGAAGAGAGGGGAGGTGGAACGGTTCTACTCTTGACCTTGGGGGCAGCATGGATTGGGCGGGCGGGGGTTCTGGGCTGATGGTGCATGCTGAAGCTGGGTTTCCTAACTGGCCTCAGAGGCTTCTGGTTTGAGGGAGGTGGATGGGAGGGCCGAGTGAGTACAGGGGTTGTCCTCCAGAGGACACGTGTCCTTGGCTTCGTATGTAGGTCTTTGCCAAGACGTCTGTGGGAAGCCTCCTTGAGCAAAGGGGCCCCAAGGCTGTGGACATGTATGTGTGTCTGCCAGTCTGTCTGTCTGTCTTAGCATGAGGTTTAGCAGGCAGCCTCAGGAAAAACTTGCAGCCCAAAAGGGAGTGTCTGGCCATGCTGCTGGCGCTCCCTCTTTCCTAAAGAGACACGTGTGCAGGTGTCCGAGTGCAGGCTAAGTACAGACTGCCCATTTCGGCTCCAGAACCCAGCCAGGCAGCTCTTGGCACAGCATCGCTGAGGGAGGTTTCAGCCTGGGGCAGGGAGTGGGGCCCAGAGTCTGATATCCAGTGTCTTCGCCTGGCTAAAGGACAGCAGCTGTCCCTTGGTTACCCAGAGAAAACAATCAGGAAAGGCTCGCGGTCGTGTCTCTCAGTCCCTTGGACCGTTAGGTCGTTGCCCTTGATTTCCGTGAGCTTTATCTGACTGCAAGGTATGTTCCATGGTCCCCTTGGATACGACGACAATTGTACCTGGTCTGTTTCCTCCCGAGAATTTCTGAGGACTTTAAAATTTAACCCGTGGGAGGGCAGGGAGGGAAGTCTTGGTACTTACAAATAAAAAAGCATTACTGCCTTATTCTCCCATCTCCCCCCAATATTTACAAATATAATAAATACTTGCTTTCGTTTACTCTGTGGAGCAGGGATTCTTCAATGTGGAAGTTTACCTCAGAATCACTTGGGTAGCTGTTTGACCGTATGTATGTCTAGACCCTGTCTTCGGAGGGTGCGTCAGGAGGCCTGGGGCAGAGCCTGGATCGTGAGTATTGGGGAAAGGCTCTCCAGGTAATTGTGATGGACGCCCTAGACAGAGAACCACTGTGTTAGATGGAAAAGCTTCCAGGTAGCAGAGACTGAGGCCTCTCTTGGTGTCCTGTGCTGTGTTTGGCATACAGTATTTTTTTAATTCAGAAATATTTATTGACTACCGTGTGCCAGACCCTGGAATACATTCATATCACTATTCTTGGTGCTCCTAGAGCCGTGGTGGAGGGACCCTAATTGTGTTGGATGCCCAGAAACCAGACGGGCTTCTATTCATTCTCAGTTGTCATTGGATTATGGTCTTTCTGAGTGGTGTGAGGCACCCGGAATTATAGCATTGACGTTGTCCCCTTTCCCAAAAATTGAACATAGCTCACCAAACAGGGGCCCCTGGAACATTGTAACAGATAGGATCAATAGATCTAACATGCCACCCCTGCCTTTCCCATTAACTTTCAGACTAAAGAGCTGAGCTTGGGACAAGACTGGGCTGGATCATTTCCCTTTCTCTTTAATCTAGAAAGAACCTGAAGCTGGCCACTTCCTTGGTGGTCATGGATGGATGTGAGCCATCTTGAGCCTCTCTTATCTGCTAGACACAAAGGACATGAAGATGAATGGAGCATGGCACTCATACTTTACAAATATCATAGTCTAAGGGGAGTCAGAAATGCAGACAGGGCCGGGCGCGGTGGCTCACGCCTGTAATCCCAGCACTTTGGGAGGCCGAGGCGGGTGGATCACGATGTCAGGAGATTGAGACCATCCTGGCTAACACGGTGAAACCCTGTCTCTACTAAAAATACAAAACAATTAGCCAGGCGTGGTGGTGGGCACCTGTAGCCCCAGCTACACGGGAAGCTGAGGCAAGAGAATGGTGTGAACCCGAGAGGTGGAGCTTGCAGTAAGCCGAGATCACGCCACCGCACCCCAGCCTGGGTGACAGAGTGAGACTCTGTCTCAAAAAAAAAACAAGAAATGCAGACAGATGTGTGTGACAGGTCCTGAATGTATGCTGAGCAAACCGTGAGCAAGCTCACAGCTATGGTGGGTTGTGGGAAATATGGAAATCCTTTATGGGACAGTGCTGATTGGACTTCCCATGTTCCTTGCTAGCCCCGGCCTTTGAGGGGTGGTGTTTGTAGGGGGCGGCTGACCAGGAAGGAAGCCTTGCCACCCCTCACCTGGGCTGAGGAGGCTCTGCTTTGTGCCTCTCACAGCAGTGCTTGCATGTTTGGCGTGGCTAGGACTCCACTACCTGACCCTGTGGCCTGTCCAGTGTTCAAGCTGATGGTCACACGTATCTTCCCAGCAGCAGGGCTCCTTTTGTGTTAGCCTGAGACAATCGTAGCTTCTGTTTCTAAGAGCTAGTGCTTTGATGGAAAACATGGCTCATGAACTTGCTCTTTGTCTAGATCCTGTAATAATCAGGTTGTGCAGGCGTGAATTGTTAGTAAAAATTCATTGGTTTACAGGAAAAAAAAAAAAACCTAGAAGGAAATAAAGGGACATGTCTAATGTTGGTGTTGTTTCTGGGTAGTGGGTATATGGGTACCATTTTCCCAAGCTTTTTACTTTTCAGGTTATCCTTTCATTTTGGAAAAAGATGATAAACATTATTTCTTAAAACCTGCATGTGTTAGTGAGCTATTGTTCCTGAAACCCTTTCCTCCAAGGATGAAGGTTCTGAGTGATAAACTTTTTAATGATCAAACTCATCCCACTGCCCTCTGGCATCTTACTGGTGGGTGGGTCTGTTGTTGTTTTTTTTCCAGAGGGAGTCTTGCTCTGTCGCCCAGGCTGGGGTGCAGTGGCGCGATATCGACTCACTGCAAGCTCTGCTTCCCAGGTTCACGCCATTCTCCTGCCTCAGCCTCCCTAGTAGCTGGGACTACAGGCGCCCGCCACCTCGCCCAGCTAATTTTTTGTATTTTTTAGCAGAGAGAGGGTTTCACTGTGTTAGCCAGGATGGTCTCGATCTCCTGACCTTGTGATCCGCCTGCCTCGGCCTCCCAAAGTGCTGGGATTACAGGTATGAGCCACCGCACCCGGCCTGGGTCTAGATTTACTGTTCACTGACTGTTCCATTTTCTCTGTCGATTGAAGATGGCTTCAGGGCCAAGAGGTGACTACTGTCAGAGGATACAGTGTGATCCAAATTGTGTGTGTGTGAATGTGTGCGTGGGAGGGTGTGTATGTGTGTTCCACCTGGCCCTTGGGGCACAAGTCCCTCATCCTTTGCTCTTGTGGGAGGACCCTGGACCAGGCTGCTTAGTAGAGAGGAGAACCAGAGTATCACAGGGCACCCAGGAGGAAGAGAGGCATGGGAGAGTTGAGGGGCGTTTCCATACTGCGCTAGCATGAAAGCTGTACCACATTCAGAATTTTAGAACGTTGATATCATGTACATTTAGAACAAGCTTCGTAGAAATATTGTGGCTGCTCTGATTCCTCCACTAAGCGGGAGCCTCATGTTTGGTGTGCAGTGGGAGGCATCTCAGCCCCAGCAAGTGGGAGGGAGAGTTAATGCTCTAAACAAGGAACTTCCTCTTCTGTTGGAGGCGTGGGTTAGTGATCTGTGCTGTTGTGTAGGAAACCTTGTTGATTTATCCCCTTGATCTTGCCTCCACCCTTCAGCTTGAGGGTGTGTGTGTGTGTGTGTGTGTGTCCATGCGCGTGGGCAACTTTCTAAATACCAAAATATACCTTCTAATTATAAACTAGTGCCATTGGTTCCTTGCCCCCACCCGCCCTTGTTTACTTTCTTTTGGTTAAAGTGCTGCTCCTTTCGAAAGGCCCCTGTCTTTGTGGCACAGCCTATTCCAGATCATTCAAATGGTTGTTTGTGCTTTTCTGATTCCTGACTCTGGGCTGCCGAATGCTTTTTCATCTCCTACAACTGAGCTCAGAGCCAGAGAAGGGCTTTTGAAAGTTCATTTCTGAAATGTACACATGTGTACTGTCTTGAAGTCCAGGCATATCCTCGGGACAGCTGTGTGGCTTTGAGATCCACTGAGTGGCCATCCCACCTGCCATGTTTCTGGGGGGTGGTACATTTCAGTATGTGAAAAGAGAGACTACTTCTAATACTCTGTGGCTCTTATTCAAGTTCAAGTTCCATGGGAACTGAATCACAAGGTCTGGTTTTAGGAGTAAGAGAGAGAGTCAGGAAGAGAGATGATTCCTTACCATTTTGTGTACATGTTATTTATTTCTATTTTGTTGTTGTATTTGGACTCTAATTCTGGGCTGGGATAGCCCTCACTGCCTGAAGTAATTGCTTCTTACGAATAGCCACTGCATTTATTGCTATCTTCATGTTACCCAGGTGGGAGCGGAGCGGCCCAGGTGTTGGCCCATCAGTGCACTTGAGTAGAGAACCCAGGGTGAACGCCAGGCACGTTACATGGTTCCCTTGGATGCGACAACAATCGTATCTGGTCTGTTTCCTCCCAAGAATTTCTGAGGACTTTAAAATTTAGCCAGTGGACCAATACAGTTTAAATGTATTACTGCTTGCCAGTAGGAGCCAAATCATAATTCTTAGCCTGTAATCTCCTGAGAAATGAGCTGAGCAGCTCCATGTGATTTTTTAGGTAGCTTTTCTGGAATTAGCCTAGAGTGGCCATTCATGTGTTTCAATCTAAGTGTTTCACTTTATTTAAAGGGCAACCTTCTGAAATATTATCAGCTAAAGGCATACCCTATATACACATAATTCCCGAGATGCAAGTTACAGAAATAGATTGAGTGTCATGGAGAAAAACTTAATAAACTATAAATTCTTATATACACAGAATTTGAACTCCTAAATTGCTATGGTAATTGATACCATTTAGCTATTATTATTTAATTATTTAAAGTCCCCTCATTGTTCTAAACAGGGCAGAAGGAGACTTTAATAATGCACTTTTTATTGTGCGTTATTAATTTCATCGAATCATTCATGATTCTAGTTATATCTCAGGTTCTTAACTAGTGTTAAGTTCTTGCAAAGGAATTGCTTACTGAGTTCAGTTGGCAGGTTAGTATTAAGAGGTATCCTTTAAAACAAAGTTCAAAATTGCTGCGGTTTTGTTCAGATGCATTTGAAATAATGCAAAGATATGATGCCTTAGTTCAGGCTCCTAAAAGAAAAACCCGTAGCCTGGATGGCGCAAACAACAGAAATTTATTTCTCACAGCTTTGGAGGCTGGGAAGTCCAAGATCGAGGAGCTGGCTAATATGGTCTGGATCTGTGTCCCTGCCCAAATCTCATGTCGAATTGTAATCCCCGGTGTTGGAGATGGCACCTGGTGAGAGGTGATTGCACCATGGGAGTGGATTTCCCCGTTGGTGCCTTGCTGCTGTTCTGGTTGATGGTGAGTGAGTTCTCAGGAGCTCTGGTTGTTTAGAAGTGTGTGGTACCTCCCCCTTCTGTCTCTCCCTCCTGCTCCAGCCATGTGAAGCTCCTGGCTCCCTCTTTGCCTTCAGCCATGAGTAAACATTCCCTGAGACCTCCCCAGAAGCAGAAGCTGCTGTGCTTCCTGTACAGCCTGTGGAACTGCACAATTAAACCTCTTTTCTTTATAAACTATCCAGTGTATTAGTCTGTTTTCATGCTGCTGATAAAGACATACCTGAGTTTGGTTTATTTATAAAGAAAGAGAGGTTTAATGGACTCAC